CTTGTCATGCACCGGGTAATTGCGCTCGGCCGGTTGCAGCTGACGCGATTGATAACAGACGACACGCTCTGCGCCGTCTGTATCATATTGCATCAGTGCGCAGCCGATTGCAAAATCACTGGCGTCACAGACCACATGAAATGGTCTGTCTTGATCGGCAATCGCCAACACTGGCGATTGCATTAAGCTTTGCTTGATACGTTCAAAGGAACGCTGACAGTCAGCGTTCCAATTCCACTTTAGATTTTTCTTGAGTAAACAAGAAAGATGTACTGTCATTTCGGCGTAATTGCGCGAGTACTTGTGCAAGTACGCCGCTATCCCAAGGAACTTCCTTAGTCCCTTGACATCGACTGGCACTGGCCAGTCGGTGATCGCCTTGATATTTTCTGGATCAGGGCGTACGCCGTTCTTTCCGACGATGCACCCAAGAAGTGGTATTTCGCTAGCTGCGAATATACACTTCTTGAGGTTGGCGTACAACTTATGCTCTCGCATAAGTGTAAGAACCTTACGGACGTGGAGTCTATGGACTTCCACGTCTGTTTTCCCGTCCATAGCCCGACTATGGACGAACACATCATCGAAGTAACTCGGTGCGAATTCGCGCACCGGTCTCAATAGATGTGAAACACATCTATTGAATGTGGCTGGTGCATTACTAAGCCCTTGCGGCATCACCAACCATTCCCAGAGCATACCACTGGGAGTGCTCACTGCTGTGTACGGGATGTCCCGTTCACGCATTAGGATCTGATAGAAACCATCCATCAGATCCATGGACGAAAAGATGGTACTCTTAGACATACCATCTATGATTACGTCCTTTCTCGGTATCGGCGTTTGCGCCGGTATCGTTGCAGCGTTCAATTTCTTAAACGCGTGTACCTTTCTGTGGGCACACAAAAGGTCGGAGAGTTGTGAGGTGAAGTTGACTCCCTCACATGGCCTGCTGCTAGGCGATCGGCAAAGAACTTGTCGATCGCCTCGACCTGTTCCCGAGGCAGTGGCCACTGCTTCATGACACAATATTTTGTGCCAGGAACAAGGTCGATCTCGTGTCGAGTACCTTTATCCTTAGGTAACTCGCACGGAACGGATTCAGGGAATACATCCTTGAATTCGACCAAATCCTTATACAAAGGATTTGACTTCAGCGACTCCCAGGATTGCGATGTATATCGCTCAATCCGAGTCTTCTCATCAAGGACACTCTCGTCCATTGATGAGCTGCTGAGAACCCGTTCGTTCTCAGCAAAAACTGTTGCTGACCGAATGTCAGTCATGTACTCGTCTTCTGCGACGAGCACACAAATCTGCTTGACTTTGCCACTACGCAGATCACGCAAGAACCTTTTAGGTTCTAGCGTAGGCAACTGAGTTATCTCCGAAGTTAACTTCGGAGGCGCGATCAGATCAAGCGTATAAGCGCCTACGTTTGATCCGTCATTAACCAAGACGTTCAACGTCTCGGTTACTTCCTGGGGACTTATTCCCTCAGGGCACTGGGGACTTATTCCCTCAGTGATTATTTCCTGGGGACTTATTCCCGCAGGCTCGATGGAACCTGTTCCATCGACTTCCTCTAGATGTGGTGGCGCAACCACAGCGAGATTCTCTACGATCAACTCTCTAGTTGATCTAGGATTACCGTGTTGCCGCTTCTGGGCAACCGGTTTACTCTTCGGTGAATGCTGCCCTCTAGGCGAGCATTCATGTCCCGGTCCACTCGACTTATTCGAGTGGTGGACCTTCGGCGCTGCCTGTGCTTGTGCACAGCCGCCGGCAGCTTGCTCCACAGCGTGACTGTCTGTCACGCTGAGTTCTTGTGCAGTCGTACTAACGACCGAACCACAAGTGAGGCCATCACACTCACTCGTAGTACATTCACACGCTTGTGAACGCTCCAAGACATTCATCAGATGGCCATCTGATGAACAAGCGGCAGGCATCTTCACGGTTCGATGCTGCCAGCTGACCCATGGCTCGTACCTTCTGAGCCATGGTAACCCTAGGATGACATCAAATTTGTCATCCAGATCAAGTACGATGAAATCATCATCGTACTTTTTGCCTTCAAGCGTGTAGTGAATTCCCACTACACGTTTCTTTACTGTTACGGATGCGCCAGTTGCAAGGCGCACCGTCAACCTCGTTGGAGGGGTCTCGCGCTCAACATATTTGAGCCTACGATCATCTAGCGATTGGCGTCGAACAAAGTTGTTCGAAGCCCCACAATCAACTAGGGCGCGAAGTGACATGTTCTTTGTCACTTCGATCTTCAATGTGATGAGGGATACCTCATCACTGGGAGCGGCAACACACAGTGACTGTGTGTTGGGAGCAACCTTCGTCAAGAGTCCCGCGAACTCTCTTGACGTTGCTGGATCAGTAGGGCGCTCCGCCCCTACTGACCCCGACCGTTTTTTGATGGTCCACCACGTTGTTGCGATTTCGCAGCAACGTGGGACCCACGTCTCTGGCCCTTCTTGGCAGACGGTCGATCGTCACTCCCAGTGTTACGAGACACTGGGCGTGGGGCACTACACTCATAAGCGTAGTGGCCCAACTTCTGACAGCGATTGCACTTTTGCAATCGCTTGTACCCTGGAGAGCGAGGTCGCTCGCTCTCTACATAGGAGAGGTCCATTGGTTCTGGACCTCCGCCCTCCTGTCGTCTCGGTGGACGATAGGATCCCGAGTGGACGTGAGCCTGTTGTAGGCTAAAGTCCTCCTGTTCCGCTGCAGAGATTGCTTGATCCAGCGATTCTAATTCCAAGCGGAACAGGTGGGTCTTGACAGGACCATCTGTCAGACCCTTGATGAACACAGTAACCTGCGTGTGTTCATCGATTGGGTTCAGTACGATACAGCTAACGAGGTATCGTACGTGTTGGGCGTAAGCGTGTATATCACGCTTACCCTGTTTCAAATCCAGGAGCTCAGCCCGAGCCCTGAATTAGGCGCGAGGCGTTTCAAACGTGTGTTTGAGCCGCGCCTTGAAGACGTCATACGTTGGGAAAACGTATGGGTCGTGCAGTTTGAGCCCTAAGGCCCAAGCTTTGGCACGTCCTCCCAAGTTCGACATGGCGAACTTGACCTTCATCGCATCGTCATCGATGCGACGAGCCTCAATGGCATCGTCGAGCTCGACGAACCCTCTCAACAAGGAGTCGCTTTCGACTGCCTTGTACTTGGAGACATCAATCTTCAAGGACTCGGGTCGACGCGCATACGCCGACCCGGCAGCAACAGCACTAGCCTGCTGTTGTCTCAACAGTTCAGACTGTTGAGCACCCTGCTGCATCAACAAGTCAGCTTGTTGAGCGCCTTGTTCTCTCAACAGTTCAACCTGTTGAGAACCTTGCTCCTCTAGCAAGGTGATTTTCTTTACAACTTCGTCAAGTTCATGTTGTATGAACTTGGCGATGGTTGCATGTTGGTCGTCTCCGCTAAGAGAGAGCAACATGGCACCAACGGCAGAGTTGCCGATGGTTTCAGCCATACGCTGAACCGCATTCCATTCGAGGTCACTCAAATGGCGGAAATCATCACGCGTTGCGTGATAACGTTCATCACCCGCTGATTCCATAGCGGGTGGTGCGGTGGTCGCTGAACGGACCACGAAGTGCTATGGGGCACCCTCCGACTATACTGATTACAGTATAGTCTAATTTCACTGATTACAGTGAAAGCAGGTGCCTCAAACCTCACGTACACGTGAGAAGAGGAAGCTTATCAACTAAACAAACGCTTAGTTGAGAGGGAAAAGAAAACTGTATTTAATATAGTTAACTATCTAATAAAACTAATCTGTTATAACCTGTGTTAACTATATTAAACTACAACTATGTATGTCGACAACTTGCCCTCCACTCATTGCGCGCGTCCATCGGTCATTGGTCAGCGCGTTGGTTGATATGATGGCCCATATCAACCAATGAGAGGGCATCTCCAACTTCAAGGAGATCTAGGAACAATATTATTAGAAAAGGTAATATTGTCAAAATATTATTAGTTATAATAATATTTTTATTGACACTTCATATAAGTGTCAATATTATGTAACGGGCTCACCCCGTTACAGTGCGCTCGTGCTTTCGCAACTACAAACGCACCATCCGCCACGCAAGCCACACCTGGTGCTGCTATTCCGAGAGGCAAGATCAACTGCTGTTAATATCGGTGTCTCCAGCTGGGGACATCACTATCGCTCATACAACAAAATGGCGGATCGAATGGCGAATATCGACATGGACACTGGAGCCTCTATACAGGTGCACGCTTCTGCGGAGGAAGGTGTTGTCACGGAGGCTTCGGCATTCCTGGTCCATGATGTTAACCACTGGCTGGAGGTCTCTAATGCCGAACACCACGAACCCAAGGACCCACGATGACGCCACGGAACCTAATCATTTCGAGACAAGACTTTGCGCGACGGCGCTCGGCTGTCCGCGGACTAATTGTACCTAGTACTTAACTTTAAGTCGGCCACGGTAACTCTGTTACCTGTCGACAGGATATAATGGGTCGTACGCGTACTCAAATACACCTCACCATCTCACTCACTTATCTTTGCATCCATGAGTCACCATGAAATCTTGAATGATGTACCATACAATTTAATGAAATCTATAGAGAACTTATATTATAATGGTTAACGTCATTAACGACATATGTGAAATTGAGGAAATGGGACTTAAATATAGGGAGAGGGTGTTATTTATATCAAAATTGTGAAGGGTGTGAATTAAATAGTATCTACACTTGATTATTTATATACAAATTTCTAAAATGAAAAGCGTGTGAAATTGAGAAAAAAGCGTGTGAATATTGCAACTCCCTTTTTTCATTTTGACACTTCATATAAGTGTCAATATTATGTAACGTACTCACCTTGTTACAGCGACAATATAATGTTAAAAGGTATTAGTGCTAGATAGTATTAACGGTAATATTTGTGAATATTTTTAGCTACGATAATAGTTCACTGTCACTTAATGCTTGTCCCAATGCTAAAAGAGTACAACGGTCGATCGATCGGCACTGTGATGAGCTCAAAATTTTACTGTCAACCCTACAATTCCTGAAGCAGGCCACCTTGTCACTTGGTTCTCAAATGGTGGCAGTGCTACCCAAACCAAGTCTCTGAGATCCGGTGGCGGTGGCTTTGGCGGTGGTTCACTTGGCACCTTTGCCGAACGTGCAGTCATCAACGATATTAAGGGCAAGCAGCTCGGTTTCGGCCAGAAGCCCGATTACATCACAGTGAAGGGAACGGTGAGTTTCATTAAGCACGACACTGGTATGTACTACCAGGCGTGCCCAAAATGCCAGAAGAAGGTTGTGGCTGACGTGGCACAAAACTACACGTGTGAGAAATGCCAAACTTCCTACAACACTTGCGAGAACCGCTATATTCTTTCGGTCATGATGCTGGACCACACAGGCAGCACATGGACGACGTGCTTCAATGACCAAGCTAAGGTGGTGATGAACGGCCGTACCGCCGATGAGATCGGTGAACTTCGTGACACGAACCTGGCACGGTTTGAGTCGACTTTCAAGGAAGCGCTGTTCAAGCAATACGTATGCCGACTTCGTGTGAAAGCTGAAAATGTACAAGAGGAACTTCGAGTCAAGGCGGGTGTTGTGAGCCTGGAGCCTCTCAACTTCATGCCAGAGTTACTGTTGCTTTCAGCAAAATTTCAATGCTCAAAGAGAATAAACGTCGTGAACGAGGTTGCCGACGAAAACAAGAATGTACAGTTTGGTCTAGGTGTCAAGATCCGTGCTGACCGCCCGGGCGCCAGATACTATCGCTTCTGTCTGCAAGTTAAATACACATTATCCAGAACAAAAGTCGTTGTGCTTGAGCCCAAGTCTAGGAAGGGGAGGTACATTATCGCTGTGACGAGTTAACACGCCATGTGGTGGTGACTTTTAGCCCCGCAGGCAACCCCTAAACACGCTTTGTCTCTTTAGTGCTGGATCAGCCGACAGCAGTGCCAGTGCACGCGCAGACGCACACCCGACGCCGCGATCGAGACAGCGACACGGACAGTACTGGGTCTGAAGAAACTAACCCTGTGCGACTGAGCAAGGCTCGCATCGTCCGTGTACACCGCGCTATAAACGATTACATGCAGGACATGATCAAGGAAGGGCTACTCGTTACTATTTTGAAGTACGTCGAGCAAGGCATACCTGTGCACGTTACTGGATACAGCATGGGAGGGATGCTTGGCCAGATTATGATGTTGTATTTGGGCGATCATGCGCGGATGAATGGCTGGGACGCAAGCAAGATTAATTTCGTAGGCTTTGGCTGTCCCCGTGTGGGTGACATTGGTTTCGCTGCTCGGCTGCGCGTACTCTTCGACCCGCAGCAATTGCTAATCATTATGCACCCATCCGACACAGTGCATGCCTTTCCGCCCACAGCTGAGGGATACGCGGACGCTTGCATCAAGATCTTTCTCCGCGAGCACGGGATGGGTGTTGGTCGACGCACACCGGGGCATTTCTCGCTTCTTCCTGTCACAAAATCTATCGATCGCGCTTTCGAGCATGCACACAAGGCCCGCGCACACGACAAGACAAACAAACCTGCGTGCTCGTTTTGTCAAAACAAGTCACATGTTGCAGCTCAGCACAGGTGTCGCTACTGTATCGAACGTGGATCACACCGTGGTGCTGACTACCCAAACCGCAACAAACCATGCCGATTGTGCGGCAATGGCAATCATTGCACGGGCGGACACAAGTGCCGCGTTTGCCAGCAGTACGGTCACCGTGGACGTGAGTGTCACGCGCAACGCGATGTGGGTTTTGCTGAGTTGCTCACCTATTTTCGCTACCATCACTTCCTGTACTACAACGCGAATCTCAAAAAGTCTGTTGAGTTTACGTCGTGATCAGTCTCGATTGCATCCTTTTTTCTCTTCAAAATGTCCGCAAGCTACTAGCAGCAGCGGTCGCGGATGGAGGGTAGATTGACCAGAGTGCTATCCGGCGGTCTTTAGAGCAAGAAGCGAGCAGTGAGTTATTGCCGTTGAAGTCCAGTGCAAACACACTGTCGCTATGATACTTGAGCACTGCGAGGGGTTTGAGCTTCCGCAAATGAAAGACACGCACGCGATGGTCCCAGCCAGCAGTAGCTACGATGCGCTGATCCCCCCGAATACAAACACTGCTGAAACCACCGTGGGTGCAGGTGAAGAAAGATCGAGAATGGAGCGTGTACGAAGCTGCGTCAAAGTTTGCTTCGTACAGCTCGTGACCCGACGAGCCACAGATGATCGACCGCCCGTCGTCTGTGATGTCGACCGAAAGCACTAGGTCCACAAGACATGCGCCCAGTTTTAGTACATAGCAAATGAATGCGAGTCTGAGATGATACGTACGTACGTGCGTTCGCGCCTTGAGTAACGGTGGTCTCGCAAGCTATCTTCCCGCCCGACCGCAAGTCCAGGATAACAAGCTGTCCACCCTCAAAGCCTGCACTGATGTATGTCTGCACACTGCCACCGGCGTCATCGTTGCTTTTTGCAACGCTGCTGTCAAAGAGCGATAGCGACATACACATGCCTCTCTTCGTTGCAGCATCTGGCACAGAGAGTGTTAGTGCTGGGGAAGAGCTTTTGACCCGAATGTCAAAGACCAGCAGCTGCGTAAGAAACGTATTAGTTGTAGTTAGACTTTAACAAACAAAGAATGATAGCCAAGCACCTTGCTATCCACGCTGCTGGGGCATATGATTAAGTTTGAGTTGGCTGAATCTTTGCTTGGCCAGCGCAACGTTGCAAACTTGGTAAACGAGTGCGACGCACAATAAAACGTGGCTAGTGGATCTGTTGCAGCATCAAAAGATTGTACGTCCCACAGCTTGACAAATCCATCGCGACCTTGCGTGACGAATTTCTGCTCGGATGCAGCGGCACCTCGCAAAGCGGCCGCGTGCAACACGCCGGCATGCGAATGCGCAACTACGTTGGTTGCCAGCTCTCGACGTGATTTCAGGTCCCAGATCTTCACGGCTCCATCACCAGCACCTGACACGATAGTCGAGGCGGACAGGAAACTCACGCTATTGACGGGGGCGCCGTGGCCACGCAGGACGCCGAGCGGCTCTGGCGCATTACGTGATGCATGGCGCATTGTGATAATGAGTCTCCGTTGTCAACTTTGATTTTAGTGTATCGACTGAAGTTCACGCCAACTATAAGAAGCTACGCAAGACTTATAAAGCTTAACCAACGGTTCAATCTGTTCTGCTAGCAAAATGCATTCAGGCACGGCCTAGAAAGTCTTGAAAAAACAGCGCCAGCTCCTCTTTCTCCGCTTCATTGAGCTTCTGGTCATCGACATACCCCTGAGCTAGTTTCTCCACCACAGACTTGACACCCGAAGTCTCAAACACATCCTGGCACGTAGGCAGCTGGTAACGCATGGCGTCCACAAGCTCGATAACTTTCCGACGAGCAAGAAGAGGAGCCTGAATGTGGCAGATTTCATATAAGCAAGCGAGTTTCATGACAAGCGCGCCACGAGCAAACACCACGTACCATCTTTACAAAAGTCGTTGCAAAACGCTCACACCATGCCGCGGACTTGAAAACTCCTTCGAGCTCAATCAATGCAGAAGACGCTGGCTCTTCACCAGTAAGCAACTCGCGCTCAGCCGCTTCCGCGAGCAGGTCATACACGAACAGAAGTACCTGCGTCGAATAACAAAGTGTTACACCTACTGCTCTAAGCGATCCAGCTGCAACATAAGTCATACCTTTATCTGAAGCTCACCAGGGTGTGCGTCAGTAAACAACCCTGCCAGAAGCTCCGGCCCGTTATGAAGCAAAAAGAGTCGTTGTCCACGCTCATTGGCTCGCACAATTGAGGACAACGCGTAAACAGTCTTCTTCTTGACTTCCAAAACTTCATTTGCTGATTCGACGGCATTCCGGACTTCCAGAGTTAACGAGCTAAGCAGTTTTGGCAGTACCCCGGCATCAATCGCCCACTCCTGACCGTCCTTATAATTCTTAGCTGCAGATCCAAACACCCATGCGGTGCGCGCTCGGACAGGCAAATTCGTCGAATTCAGGTACTCAGCAATGATGCCAAATCCGCCAATGAAGTTAAATACGTGGGTCTTGTCCAAATCCTGCACTTCCCACTCCAACACTTCAAGCACATTTAGTTGTCCCGCCGTATCACCATTGTTTTCAGCCTCTTTGAACTGCTCTAGCAATTCACCCAGATACTTTGCATCATCCTGGAGCGAATCGAGGGCCTCTTTTAGCTCAGCTTGACGTTTCTTCCAGAGAGTAACGATCTGCCGGCGGAACTCTGCAGGGGACAGCTTTTCGTGTGCGTCATGGATGTCCATGCCTTCGACCTTAGGCGGCTCAGGCAATGCCTGCAACACGTCATATATTTTCTCGTGGTTCCAATTTGGTTCGACTACTTCAGTTTCAGCTTCTTCTTCATTTACAGTAGCGTCGATAGTGCCTTCCCCCTCGATGACAGTGAGAGTCTCGTCGTCAGACACGATATCTCCTGAGATATCAGTGGACACTGTTACCGTAGTGTCCTTCGCGTTAGGATCAACGATCAACGATCGCATGGATTCTTGGGTATCTTGCTCCTTAGGATCCACCAATTTTGCCTCGCGCTTTCCTGTCTCGAGGTTCAATCGCACGTGAAGCCCCTGTAAGTATCAATACAATAGCCGTTAAAGCAATATTTGCTGAGAAATAATGAAGCCGAAAGACTTACCCGTGGCACACCTTGTCCAGGCAGCAGCTCCTGCCATTTATCTGTGGCAACAAACTCGGGCACTGTCACTTTACTGGCATCCGGCGCTGACGCAGTACGAGTTCCTGATACCTTTTCTCTCTCTTTTGCGGATGTGATACAGACTGGCAATGCAAGTAGTAAGACTGTAGCTGCGGTCAGCAACAGGAAGCGGCATAGTCGAGAGCTTCTTAGTGACATCTTGGCAAAATTGAAAAGCAACTGGGCTAACGTGGATATGTCGTTTTCATTCATTGGTGTCGCAATGCTACAGCAACATTGATTTTGGTTCGCAACTTAATCTATCTGCGCAACATTGTCTGGACGGAAGTGGACGCTAAGCTTAATAGTGTACTTAATGGGCTTGTTGTATGAACACTAAATTATTTTACGTCCGTAGTCGCTGGGACGAATCGAACTTGATCCCGCAAGCTACACATCTGCACATAGACATTCATTCAAAAACGTCAGTACACGCACGTTCGTATACACAGTGCTCGAGCATAATCCCATGAACAGCATTCACAGCAGAACGCACGGGTAATCGTCTTCCATGGCGACAGCAGTCTGCAGACAGTAATAACAGTACACGTGCTTGCACGACGTGATGTAAGGTGTCTGTGGCGGAGAAATGCCACACAGGCAGCACTGCGACGAGCGAGTGCCTGCAGTAGGAAAGTTTCCCCGCAGTGCTGTACTCGTGCGACGGCTTCTCCACGTCATAAAAGGCAGGATGAAATTGCCGAACTCCTGTAAGCCATAGAAAAGCAAGTAATCTGAGCGTAATGTATAACTCGGCAGAAAAACTTGGCAATGACGCACCAGCAATCCGTCCCATAACAGTTGACGAGTCATGTATTCAAAATTTATCGACCGCGTGGCTGTCGACGTGGTGATGCTCTCCTGTAAGGCACGCACAAATATAATCATCTCGTTAGTAGATTTCAGACGTAGAGGTCAAAAACACACTGTGTGTTGTTACCAGCTTCATCCCCAAACACCTCTCGGGTAGCGAGCGGTACGACCCCTTGCGCAAGAAGACGAGCAAGTTCACGAACTGGCATGTGACAACAAGAGTCTCCAGCCTCTTCATCACTAGCAGCATTCGTGCTCGAGCCGTTTCGTCGTTGTCAGACGTATCGCCACCGGAGAAAGCTTCTCTAACAGTCCATTGACCAGATGACCAGTAGCGAAACAAACGCTTCCAGATGAATGGCACCCCTACAGACAGCAGGAATAAGGCACCTATACGTCGTTTGGTCAGCACATGTGGCGCATATTGAACGTTCTCTAGTTTCATGCCAGGCGTTGGCTGCATTGATAATTCCAACAACCAATGCAGAGCATCAGTAATGTCAACTTCTACAAGCAGCACTTCAATCAAGCACCTCATACCCTCCCTCGGCCCACACTGAATGCAAATAGCAGAGTCCCAAGTGCCGCATCGATCTGTGGCTTAAATCTTTCCACATCTCCCGGCTCAAACATGCTGAACATGCTCTTCATAGGTGTCTTGAGTAGTCCCAGGATTTCCGAGTCGAGGATCAGCGCGTCCCACTTGTTTACACGAAGGCTTCTTGATGGACTACGTACGAGCCATATGGCACACGCAGAGTATAATCATTTACGTCTCCAAACGTAAAGGTAGTGGACTGGCTTTCCTGCAGTGCCGCCTCCGCTGTCTGCACGTGCGGTGGCTGCATGTTGCACTTGTGTTCTGGTGGACGCTAAAAATGGCCACATCTACGTATCGGTATTCCGAAGTAACTTGCCGGTAAGCGACGTTTCTACCGGTATGTCTGTCTGTTGATAGTTAAGTAAGAATTCTTTATCAGAGCCGACAAAGGTATATTATGGTAATAGTGCTCGTTAATGTCAGGCAGGACTGTACATTCGCGTGAGGTTCAAACTGGCAAGAAAGAATCCAGGTTCTTTAACTAGACTGCACCGCATTTGAAGGCGCTTGAACACCCGCATGAACCTAAAGTTTGTAACAATAGCTTTATACAAGACGCCACATGTTGGTAAAGCTTACACATATCCATCTACAGTAGCACTACTGTATGTGTCTTCGTCAGCACAATTTCAAGCGAGCAGGCTTCAGGTGGGAAAAAACCCACGGGGTCGAATTATTGGAGCTGCTTTTTTGATGCAGCTGTAATGTTCATGACGACAACGAACGGTCAGCAACCTGCCAAAGTTCGGTCACTCATCTGTATCTTCGCTCTGGCAGAGTAGTATTATCGGGTAATATCGTTGTGCGATAACGCTTTTGACGTGTATCCGGTCTCCATATCCTCGTGAACCAAGAACGAAATCGTCCAATTTTAAGAGCTGCATACCCTGCCAATTTAAAATAATCCAACATTTTGTCTATTCAAGGAAACTACTACACTACAGTGCACTAGAATCTGCCGAATTATGATTAACACTCGAAAAAAACCCAGACAACAATACCAACTCGCTAACATACTTTTGCGTAAGGGTGGTGTTAAAAAACACCAGGATGAAAAGGTTGTCAGCTCCAAAAAAAGAGCTTACTTGCTAGGAACAGATGCCCTCCGAAAGATATCAGCGTTATCACCAAACAGAGGCGACAACCTACGAGCGTTCACCACGAATGCGACGAGCTAGCTGAATGTCCTTAGGCATGATAGTTACACGTTTGGCGTGGATGGCGCACAAGTTGGTGTCTTCGAACAATCCCACAAGGTAAGCCTCGGCAGCCTCTTGCAAAGCAAGCACGGCAGATCCCTGGAAGCGTAGATCTGTCTTGAAGTCCTGGGCAATTTCACGCACTAAACGCTGGAAAGGCAGCTTGCGGATCAACAACTCCGTCGACTTCTGGTAGCGACGGATTTCACGCAGAGCGACCGTACCAGGACGATAACGGTGAGGCTTCTTCACTCCACCGGTGGCGGGAGCAGACTTGCGAGCGGCTTTAGTGGCGAGTTGCTTGCGCGGGGCCTTGCCTCCGGTAGATTTACGAGCGGTTTGTTTGGTACGAGCCATTTTGACTATGTGTTTAAAGCGAAGCAAATTGGGGAATGGGTTTTCGAGGTAGAGGCAGCCAACTATAGACGTCGCTACAAATGAGGAGCTCCAGCCAATCATAGACAGACGCATAGGATATTGGACCAGTGATAGCGTCGTATTTCACTGGTCCGCCAATCAGTGAAAAGATGTAAAGGTCCCGAAACGTTGTCCAATGAGAGAGCTGAACGCGAGGACACGACGGAGCGGTCGGACGCTATCAAAATGGCGGGAAACAGCAGAGCAACCAATCACCTCAAGTAGCTCATTCGGCAATCTTCCAAGCTAAAGGCAAACAACTCAACCAACTAATTGAAACAACATGTCTGGACGTGGCAAAGGCGGTAAGGGACTCGGCAAGGGCGGTGCCAAGCGTCATCGCAAAGTTCTTCGCGACAATATCCAGGGCATTACTAAGCCTGCCATCCGTCGTCTCGCACGTCGTGGTGGTGTAAAGCGTATTTCCGGCCTCATTTATGAGGAGACTCGTGGTGTGCTCAAGGTTTTTCTCGAAAATGTTATTCGTGACTCGGTGACGTATACGGAGCACGCTCGACGCAAAACGGTGACTGCCATGGACGTCGTGTACGCCCTCAAGCGTCAGGGTCGCACCTTATACGGCTTCGGTGGATAAGCGCATTATTGCTTTTCGCCTGAGTATTGTCTGCTGGCTTCACAATTGTACTTTGGAATGGCGTGCTCTATTGACCTGACGCAGCGACGCAATTCCCGTAAGGTTTCCCCTACTCCTGGTGTTTTTTAACACCACCCTTTTCGAAGAAATGAGTATCCAAAATAGTATCGATTAGCTAACACTAGCATATAGTATTCATTTTATATAAAGACCTGTTGCAGTCTCTGTCTTCGCACCTCTTTACGCATATTTAGGAAGTGGTGGTGCATCTTATTTCTTTCGTGTGGTGAGTAATTGTGCGTAATGTGGTGAAGATAAAATAACGATCTTAACATATGGCAAAACATTTCCCTGTCTTGTAAGGATCAAGATTGGTCGTTTTGCATCTTCTCATGGTGAAGGTACTGTAGCAGCGGATTCCTCGATATAAAAGTGGTACTTTGGTTTCACAAATAGGTCATGTATTTCATAACGGACTACGCACACTCGACTCTGCCCGGAAGCCATCATATAATAAATTGGACGACTGCGGGAACTATTTATCAGGATCTTGACGTGTGTGTGGCTACAAGTATTGGGTACTTATTGGTAGCAGTCGTGGCTGTTGGATTCGAGCTAGTAGCCAGCCAGTAAAACACAAGTTTATAAAGTTAGCGTCACAGGCAGCGCAGTCAGTGCTAGCTATGCATCAGGCTATACTGTCGGCACAGCACAACTACCAGACAGCATTTTCACGACCGCGTTCTTGCTAACCTCCTCCGCTACATGTTGCTAATTAATTGTACTGGGCGATTGCTTGTAGTAAGTCCTTAGACTCTTGCACGAAGTTGAGAGGCTCCAGGCTCACAACACCCGCCTTGACTCGAAGTTCCTCTTGTACATTTTCAGCTTTCACACGAAGTCGGCATACGTATTGCTTGAACAGCGCTTCCTTGAAAGTCGACTCAAACCGTGCCAGGTTCGTGTCACGAAGTTCACCGATCTCATCGGCGGTACGGCCGTTCATCACCACCTTACCTTGGTCATTGAAGCACGTCGTCCATGTGCTGCCTGTGTGGTCCAGCATCATGACCGAAAGAATATAGCGGTTCTCGCAAGTGTTGTAGGAAGTTTGGCATTTCTCACACGTGTAGTTTTGTGCCACGTCAGCCACAACCTTCTTCTGGCATTTTGGGCACGCCTGGTAGTACATACCAGTGTCGTGCTTAATGAAACTCACCGTTCCCTTCACTGTGATGTAATCGGGCTTCTGGCCGAAACCGAGCTGCTTGCCCTTAATATCGTTGATGACTGCACGTTCGGCAAAGGTGCCAAGTGAACCACCGCCAAAGCCACCGCCACCGGAGCTCAAAGACTTGGTTTGGGTAGCACTGCCACCGTTTGAGAACCAAGTGACAAGGTGGCCTGCTTCAGGAATGGTAGGGTTGACAGTAAAATTTGAGCTCATCACAGTGCCGATCGATCGACCGTTGTACTCACTCACACGGCAGCCTTTTATAGCCAGAACTTGGTTCAACCAGCTAGAACAATCCTCCTGAGCACGCTCATTCCACATTGTGCACTTAATCTCAGCGTTGGAGTCGTCAACGAGCGAAATATCGCGTTTGAACAGCTGCTTGCCGGCCTTTGACGTGATTTCATTAACTTGGCCCACGTCACGCACGATACCAATGACGTCCACATTCGTGTCGGCAGGCACGTTTTCGATTTCAGCGATTTTCTTAAAGAAGTATTGCATTTGTGAAATTTGTCCGTCCTCTGGGGCTGGAGATATTTCTGAATGCGTGTCAAATGTCACCTCATAGTCGTTGTCAACCGAGGAGAAGCGGCGATTGGCCATCTTTATCTTGCCACCAGAAAAGTAGAAGACACCACCTGGACGCAGCATTTCGTAAAACTTGTCCACGCCGTCTTTAAAGAAAGTGGCACGTATCTCACCACCCTTTGCGTCTAACAAATCAACACTGAATAGCTTGCCGGAGCCGCGCGCATTGCTCCAGTTCTTTATCGGGGCACGGGTCGTTACTCGAGCCTTAATGGTCCATCGTCCGCCAGCATAAGGGTTCAAGCTTTGAATATCTGAAAGCCGAATATTTGGGTCCTGACGTACGACAGGACCGCGGTTGTATGCCGATACGGCAGACTTAGGCGGCACGTAGCTCGACGGAGCAGAAGAAGGCTGCTTGTACTGGCTAACACAAGCTTGTGGCTGCTGGTAGGCAGTTTGCACCGCGGTGGGCCTCGCTCCAAGAGCTGCCAGGGGTGGAGCATTAGCTGCAGGAGCAGGTGGAACAGACGGGCCCTTGGCGCCTTCGATGTTCATAGGGGAGCCAATGCGGTCAAAGGCGGGCACGATGTCGCCGATGCTGAGTACAATGAGGATCCTACGACCCTGTACTTCATTGCGCAAGAAATCCTTGAGCTGCAGCACGTAATTCGTCTTCAGACTTTCGTTTTCCATCATCTGTCACACATGAAGAAGAAATAAATATCAAAAGAGACTACAAGCAGCCATTAGAGGCTTGTAGAGATCAGAACGTACCGGTGCCAGCTGCGTCGCTAGCATTCCGCTAATATAAGACGTGCCATCGGACAGAACAATGCTGCACGGTTGGAGGCAATACATATATCAAGTTAGCAAGCTAGCTGACTGTCTATCAAATCAGTCTGCTCCTCGTCGTACCGATATCGGTCGCCGCCTGCACCACTAGCCGGTTTTATCTTCTTGGTGTCGATGATCTGTAGCCACGGCTCAAAGCCGTCAGGCGTCTGGTTGTTATAAATCATCGACACAGCGTTGGGCGTGAGGTTCACCATACGTCTCTGGGTGGAATCTGTTTTGGCGCCAAATTAGCTTTTCCGAATATTTTTGAGTTTTTTTTGTAATTTGTTTAATCGAAATGGGCATAAAAGTTTCTTACATATTTTTTATTATGATTAAAATATTTAGCATAAAAAGTAAGAAATAGCGCAGCAACTAGAGGTCACAAAAGCGGGGATTCGACTAGTTGACATGTCTTCTCTCTTACTGGAGCAGCTCCTGGGCAAGTCTGCGGTGGATGATGCCATTCGCAGCACCAAAAATCGCGTACTGGTGCTTCGTTTCGGTCGAGCGTCTGAGACTTCATGTTTACAGCAGGACGATATCGTACGTCATCGAAGTGGTGTGCGCTCTGTTCGTCATGTGTCATGTGATGTCTTTGGGTCTTGTGCGGCTTTGTAGCTGGCGAGATGCGAACGCGAGCTGTCCAGAATGGCAAGGGTGTGTATGGTGGAGGCAGATTATGTTCCTATCTACTGTCAGTACTTTGACATCACGCTCATCCCCGCCACAATTTTCTTCGTCAATGGAAAGCACATGAAAGTGGACTACGGGTACGTGTTGAGATGGCTGTGGGACATGTCACGATTGCTGAGGAGCTGTTACAGTGTCTAATTTTATCACATATTCTATGATTTTTGCATCGAAATGGCATAGTACACCCGACAACACGAAGTTTATTGGTGCTTTTCGGACGAAACAAGACTTTATCGACCTCGTGGAGGTGCGTCAATTAATGCGTATCTGTGGCTACTTTGCATGGATTGACCTGACGTGTCACTTTTCCTCCTCGATTGGCAGGTTGTTTACCGAGGTGCGAAACACGGAAAGTCAATTGTGCCTTGTCCGATTGAAAAGTCACATATCCTACAGTATGACCTGATTTACAAAGACATCTAAAATTCGTGTCATGGTCGTGGTCATTGGAGTGTATTCATATGGAAGAGACGCCTTGTAAACAGATCCTGTACAATGATTAATCGTCTTGAATGGCTTTGGCGTGTCATCCACGGTGGATCGCTATTCTGTAAGCGTCACTGTTGCGGTAGCGTGCACATACAGCACGACTGGATAACGATTCTGCATGCTGCGTGTTGTGAGTAATGCAGCCACATTTGAACTACTGGAGTTTTGTCTGTATGACGACTTTTCAGTCAAAGTTAGGATAACGATCACCCTGGGGCACTTGCCTGAGTTTCTACATCGTTTGGACTCAATAGCAGCGCTTTTTTGGTAATTTATACAAGCAGGTTGATATTCTCGAGATACTTGCAGCATCTCCTCTCTTCTCATGTACGACGGAATGTACGGGTCTTGGTTGATATCCTTGTTAAAGAATGTTTTGGTAACATTCGAGAGCGTTGGTGATAGAAGAGATTTAATCAGTGCACAGTGAAGGAAAACAGAAACGGACAGACGCACAGCTTGGATTTTTCCGGATTTACCATACGCATTATTACCACGACAAAGAATATTGAATTTTTGCAAAGTGCTTGCGAATTTGTGGCATTTACCGATTTTTGCTCGCAAGTTGTGAATCACGTTACTAAAAGGATGAGGCACGCTTTGGTTTTCTAGTAGTTTATTGCCCTGGGGAGATTGATATCTAGATTACATATGGGTATCGCTTTTGAAATGATGACAGGTACAAACCTTTCTTATGTCTCGCAGTGCATGTGATACTATCCAAGCATCCGGTATGCCGATGCATATTTCGAGAAAATTATCGTTTCGTTGGTCACGAATGCTGTGGCTGCAGCAAGGTTTCGAATGTCATCTGCAAACCAATGGGCTATAAATGAGTTCGAGCCTCTTAATAGGTGGCCTGAGACTTTAAGTAACCGCTGCTCATATACAAACACTTCTGAGTGGTCAGGCAGCAAGAGATCTGCCTTGTGTCAGAGGTTCATAAATAAGGATAAAGCTGAATGTAGACAACTCACTATGCTTAATTTGTCCATTGATGAAATCGATTCACACTGCGTCGGCATTACTCTGCTTGGCTCCATCTCATCCGTGTCTACTAGCGGCTGAAATCGCCGCCGGCGCATTGGCGGCCGCTTGCGTCCATTCTTCCGCACAGAAGATACAAAACTCTGGACCTCTTCATCGTGCGCGCTGGAGTGGAGGCACGTTCACTACTTTTTACCTGTTAGTGCTTGGCAGGTATGTCTCTATGGGCGGGAGATCTCTGCACACGAGGAAGGTTTCGCCATGCACCTTCATCAATTCGCCGGATCAATTGAAACTGATCTACCTTTTTGATTTTAAACACCAAAACTGCAGTGACGTAGATGAGGATAACGTTAATCCACAGGAGCATCAGACTTCCCATAGCAATTTCGTAAAAGATAATTTTTTGCTCTTCTCCGATGACATCGTCCGTCTATAGTACATGCATTATCCGATATCCATCACATATATCATTCAATTTTTAGGCATGGCAAAGCCCCTTCAAGAAGGCAGTAATCAACACGTACCACGAAGTACTGACCGAACATAATATACGAAACACAAATTCCGAAGTTAACAGTAGGCGGAAGCAATGCCGCGGCGATGGCGACCCCAACAACGGAAGAAATGTTTGCGTTTGACTCAGCCAGTGCAGCACCAGTACCTGAAAGCGCGGCAACAATTGCGCCGAACAATAATTGAATAGCTTGCCCTCGCTGGCGCATTTCAGCTGTTGGCCAATTCAATGCCACTGCATAAGGACTTAGAAAAGCACCAATCATGATACCCAGTAGGAAAGTAATTGTCTGCACAAAATGTGAGTTGCAAGCAAAAAAGTTACGGTAGTCATTCAGACGGATCAAGCTTGAGAAGAAACAATTTTGAAGCAAACGTACCAGCGCAAAAAGCTCATTCAGCATTCCGTTGATAAAGAGATTTTTATCCCGAAGGGCAAATCCAAAAGCACAGCCCAAAATTGGCCCCTACCAATGGCACCACATTAGAAATTCCCGCGCCAAACATTCTTTTCAATGCAAAGTAATCATACCATCATCGGAGATAGAAGCATAGAGGCAACGACGTAAGTCTACCACAAGTTTCACACCAACATTAGTTTCTAGCATTGGCCAGCAATATACAAAACAATAATCCAGCGAGTCTCACGCTCGAATCTCCAGCTAGACCGATTCCAGCAATCGACCTACGTTTAGAACGAAGATGCATCACCAATGACAATATCAAGACATGTGACACTTTCGACGTACGAAGAAATCAGCAGCATCACCATAGAGTCCCTGGAAAGAGTTGAATTTGCTTCAATATGCGCATACATCTCAGCCACAGGTACTGCGGTCCCCACGTCGGTGTTCCGTTCAAGAATCCGGCCAACGCTGCGCTTCTTCTTCTTGTTGCGATTACGCTTGAGCATGGTAGTGCCTGGCGTGAGTGACATGACGTCGCAGAAGCCAAACTGGACGCCAACGCCCATGAGCTGCAGCTTGTTGAGGATCGCCTGCATCTCTTTGTCCTCCACACGAAACGTCACTATGGACGACGTGCGTGCCTCCACGCTCGTCACATTATCCAGCTTGAGGTCGTCTTGCAGCACGGATACAACCTGGAGCAGCAAGACAAAAATGCAAGTCAGTAGAGGTGAAAAGGAGAGGAAGATGGCGCAACACACGCGCCTTTCCGTGCTGCTCGTTGGGCAGCGTGAGCTGGAAGAGCTTCATTTTGTTAACGTTACTGCTGGAATGTACAGTGTCAATTTTCGCTAAATACGAATGGTGCGTCACGAGTTCAAGCGGCATGAAGTCGTGGACGATCTCGGACCTTCCGTGTCGCCGCCTGAGCTTTGCATGCTTAAACTTATTTACGGACTCGGACTGATGACTTCGATGTTCTCGTTAGTTGCTTGTGTGGCCACAGGATCGAGTATGCAAAGAAAAATGTAGACGGGCACTTCTAAGAAGTTGCCCCGTGCTACTAGCACACACCTTATGCACAAGCGAAGAAGCGGTAGACCGTCTTACCTTCGCGTGCGAGGGTGGTTAGGAGGTTGGTCGACTGCTTAAGCAGTCGTACCACCAGTTGCCTCTCGCTTAAGCGAGAGTGCAACGAACTCTTTAACGCTTACAACACCGACGTCACGCAGAAGTTTTTCGACTTCTCGTGCGTGGTGCTTCGGTGTTTAGCAAATTCAAGACTGAGCTATATTTAATGAATTATAACTAAATATGTACTTAACTACTGATTGGCTATATATGTATATAGATCGGATACGCGACTCTTTAGAAGCGTATCCTGTCGCATGATCTTAAATCTAGATTTAAGATCGCAACTGACGTCCTTCTGAGACGTCGCGATGCCTAGCTTCAACTAGCGTCATCCCTTCTCATGCGAATCCATCAATGGATATCACATTCACGAGGGTGGATCACATTTGTGTATCACAGGTCAAAAGTAATCATGGATACTTTTAGACCAAACCTTAAGTGTATTACTTAATGTTTACGTGTAACTAGATTACACCACTCCCGTTTTAGAACGATTTTTACATTTTGTCAAAACATCGCCTAGGCGACAGAGAGACTTGCGAGCCGTTATAAACGCGCCGCTTTAGTCTGCTCAATTCTCATGCCACCGAAACGTTGTAAGGCTGGGGGGTCGCCTGCAAAGGCACCCATGCAGTCCAGCACTAAGCGCACGCGCCGCGATTTATCGCAGCCGTCGCAAAGTGCTTCAGGCACTGAGGTGAATCTTCTATCTCACTATAATGTGGATGAAGATCCATCTCTCGTTGTAGATTACAATGAGACTACGCCATTGCCATCACCCCAAAGTGGCGATGAGCAAAGAGCATTGATGGGACATATGTCCCCATCATTTGTGTAACGGGGCTAGAACGTACCGTCACTAGCTTACACGTGCGCTTGAGGAAGACTCAAGCCCGAGTATTAGGTATTAAGTAAATTTAACTCTGATTTTTATTTTGGTTTTAATTCGTACTAATTACGAAGATTTTAGTCGTAATAAATACGACAGTGTTCCCGCCTTTCGGGAACCACACAATTTCAGGTTGATTTATCATTGGTCCATATTGGGGACTTTAGGCCCAATAATAAACCAATAATAAATTACCACGCTGTGCCCGCTATTCGGGCCCAGCACCTGCCTACATATGTAATTGTTTATTTGTGTTAATACTATGTGTGTAATGTAGCCCATTACATCACCCCCTTCTTATGACAGCACTCACCAACCGTGAGTGCTCAACTGTCGAAAACCCTTCGCCCACAAACGAATAAGCAATGTCCGGAGACCCAGAACCCAATCCAGCAGGACGCCCAAGATACATCAGCGGGAATGCATCAACCAGCATCATGGCGCGGCAGCTCATACCTTGGACGCTGTACGACTTGTCCGGAGCTCACGCTCCGGACTCACTGGACATGATGCAGGACTACTTCCGCCGATTTCGAAAACTGCGCGGGAAAGGTCTTGATGGAATCGAGCATGAAGCTCTACAACGTTCTTGGTGCGCCTTCATCCAACGTTGGAATCGGATGCTCGAGGATGGTAGCAGCTTCCAGTTATGGCTCGCCAATCGAGAGGAGCTTCGCGCCGATCACTCCATCGGCGCGCTACGCGAAAGAGTGTGTGAGGAAGCTTGGAATGAGGACCGTCTCTGCTTCGTCCATGTCAATGAAGGATGCCAATCTTGTGACTCGACTCCAAGCCCAACTCATGACGAATGGCGACGACACATCGCTGAGTGTCCACTCAGCGATCGCGAACGAAGTTGGATTGCAAAGTATGAGCGAAGTCTGAGCGAACGGGGAAGCGCAGTTATTCGTGGTGCGCCTCGCTGGCAGCACCACTCGCGACAGCGGAGTCAATCTCCGCGGGATCATCAGCGCAGGGCAGCGACACGTCCGCTTGTCCGTCCTGCTTCGCGATTCTCGCCTCGCAATCGTGATATGTATTCACCGCGACATTCTCGATCACGGCATCGATCTCGTTCGCGACATCGTTTGCGTTCGCGACATCGTTCTCGTTCGCGTCATCGTTCTCGTTCCCGACAACGTGAATCTTCTTATCGCTCTCGTTTGTCACGAGAGCGTTCGCGTGCTCGCCCGCCTTGGAATAGTCCGACTTCGTGGCTTCATACGACAGAACCACATCTGGAACGTCACGAAGGAGCGAGGGACGTGGTTCCCATGTATCCTGCTCGGGAGGGAATCCAAGCCAACGTACTCGGTACCTACGCGCGGATGGAACCGCACGCTTCTCATGAGCCGACTGCAGTAATGGTTGTGTGAGGGTCCTCTTGACCCACAATGCGGTCTACAATCCAGCGCACCTGTCCCTCCGCATCAACAAGCGGAGGAGGGCCCTCGCGGTGGTAGAGCTGGCGTCCTGGTTGCTCAGTACGATGTTGATCAGGCCGTGAATATAGCTGCCGATGCTCGGCTGGAGGCTGAGGCTGCCAGTGAACGTGCTGCCCAGGCGGAGGAGACTTCGATTGAGACCCGGCAGTCGAACCGTGAACTGCTCGAGCGGATAAGGATTCTGGAGCGCCAGATGCTTGGTCAGGTTCAGAAGGGATCGAGACCCCGCCCCATGTCATCGGCGCGTCGAGCGCGACGGGAAGGCCGTTCGACTTACGAACCCCTGAAGCCGGCGTCGGAGCCAAGCCGTGAAGCGTAGCCGGACGATATTCCTTCAGCCGCCCGAAATAGAATGTCGGGTGGAGTCGCAGTGAAGAGGGGACGTCGAGTGTATAAGCGTCGCCAATTGCCTTCAGAACCTTGAATGGACCGATAAAGCGTGGCGCGAGTTTACTCGCACCCAGATTAGTGACCGCAGAATCCCTTAAACCTTCCGTAGATTATAATACACGGTCACCTTTCTCAAACTTGCTCATGTTCTTTCTTCCATGTTTGTCAGCGTTCTCCTTCTGTAGGTCTACAGCAGTTTGTAGTGCGTCGCGTACAAACCTGGTGATGGCTTGACGTTGGAGTATAAATTCCGACACGGCCATGTCATCAATTGGTCGCGCCGACTCAATCGGCGCGTAGTTGGCAGTAGGGGAACGCTTACCCGAAGACGGGTCAATCAATGTCTGCGCAGTCCATCGAACTAATGGGGACGCCACGTCTGATGGTGTCAAAATGGCCGTCTTTGCCTTGGATCGTGTTACTGCATTCGCGCTCAAAATACCGTGAGCTGCACTCGATCCTTGTTTATCACCTTTATCCCCCCCAGAGTGGAGCCACTAGGTGTTGTGGGTCGCCCCACGGCCAGGACAGTAGGAACACGAGGGTGACGAGCCGAATTCACAAAAACTGGCGTCAACCCTGTTGACGCGTGTACGGCGTTGTTGAGTGCGAACTCAGCGAGTGGTAAAAATGCACTCCAACTTGTAAATGACGTAGCATAACTCCGAAGAACATCTTCGAGGACTCGGTTCACGCGCTCGGTCTGCCCATCCGTTTCCGGATGGGCTGCCGTCGACATCAGCAGTTTTGTCCCGAGGAGCTCGAAAAGTGATGTCCAAAATGCGGACGTAAATCGCGGATCACGGTCCGAAACAATGTTTTCTGGAAGGCCATGATGACGGAACACCGCGTCGATGAAGTGCGCCGCGGTCTCTGCCGCGGTGACCTTAGCGTGAACAGGCACGAGATGTGTCATCTTGCTGAATCTGCCAACAAAGACCAAGATGCCCGTTCGAGCTTGGCTATCGGGCGCAAGCCCGAAGATAAAGTCCATCGAAACTGATCTCCAGGCCTCTGCTGCAATTGGCAACGATCGCAAGGGAGCCTGTGACGATGGAGATGGCTTCACACGCTGGCATATTTCGCACGTTCGGATCCAGTTGCGTACCCACTTATACATGTGGGGCCAGAAGAAGTCTCGAGACACAACCGCGAAAGTCTTTTCGCGGCCTAAATGGCCGCCAGCAGGAGCATCGTGATACTCGTGAATGATTCTTGCACGCAAATCCATGTCATTGGCAATCACCGTGCGAGGAGAATCGAATTGGTCGATGCTATACAGAAGCAAATCGCCATCTAAACTGTATCGATGAATATGGTCGCGCTTGGTACGGGATAATGCTCCCAGTGCAGCATCGCTGGGAGCACGCAGATACTCGATAATGTCTGCATAATCTGAGTCACCCTTGTACGCTGCGACGATCTCATCAAATAAACACGGCTCGGGTGTAACCCGAGTTAAGTTCAGCGATACGCACATTGCACATCGGTCATCATCGTCCTCGTCATCAGTAGCCTGGCGACTCAGAGCAGTCCGAGGATCGTAGTCGGGACGTCGTGACAAGGCGTCAGCGAGAATATTGGTCTTGCCTGGCTTGTAATGCACGACGAAGTTGTACTCAGAGAAGAATGAGAGCCATCGTGCCATCCGTTGGGACAGGTGTGGGCTCTTCATCGCTGTGCGCAGCGATGCATGATCGGTGTACAAAGCAAACGTACTTTCACCAAGGAGATGCACGCGAAACTTGATGAGTGCATAGCGCATCGCTAATAACTCCTTGTCGTGAACCGGATAGTTCTTCTCAGCTGGCTTCATCTGTCGCGACTGATAACTCACGACTCGTTCACGGCCCTCATCATCAAATTGCATGAGGGCACAACCGATTGCAAAATCACTGGCGTCGCAAACCACGTGGAACGGCTTGAAATCGTCTGGTAGGACCAGGACTGGC